CCCCCACTGCCCATTCTTACTTGACTTCCGTGCCCCAGTGGATGGTGGGCACTCTGCAGCAGGTCCACTGGCCGAGCCTTGAGCCCCTCAGGTACTGCCTTCCTACCAGCCCTGACCCTCCCACCACAGTGCTCTGGGCAAGCCCACCCCTCTGTGCCCTGAGCTGACGACCCCAGGCTGCAGAGCAGAGCCCGGCTGCCCTTTAAAGAAGTGGAACCTTCTCTGAGGTTCTGAGGGGTGGGTTTGAACCGTCAGCCTTTAGGTTGGTAACCACGCCAAACACGGGCTGCATGGAGTCCATGCTGACTCCTGGGGTTTCCGAGACCACACTGGTTTAGGTGGAGCGGCTGCTGGGTTTGAACCTCCGGCCTGGCCATTAGCAGCCCAGTGTCTACCTGTAGATCAGTCGGTGGTGCAAGCTCTGTGCCAGAGTCATACCTCCAGAAACTGGAGCAACCTGAGAGGGTCCCAGAGGGGGGTGAACAGCTCAGAGTGTCTCCCACTCTGTCCACCAGGGGGGCATGGCGACAAATTGACCACACAACCACAGTTGCAGCCTTCCACGTGTGCAGGCCGACATGGGGTTGTGGGGCAGCGTCGCCGGGCCATATCTGGGTGCTGACGGTGGGGGGTGGGCTCCGAGGGCCTTGAGACCCAGTACAGGCCCACAGCCTGTCTGGGGGAGGGTAGACTTTGGCACGAGGACTGGGATAGTAGGATCTGTGCCACTTTCCACTTGTCCGCTCACCTGCCCTCTTCTCTCCCCTTTTGCTCCACCCACCTGCCCGCTCACCTGGGGCTCTTTCTCCTGCCCCCTCATAACTTCCTCCTCCTCCCCCTTGCACCTCCCTTCCTCCCCCATCTCCCTGCTGCCGGACCCCCCACCCCCACCCCGTGTCCCCGCGCAGGCTGCAGTGCTGCCGCTGCCCGTGGGGGTGGGGCTCCGCGCATGTGCAGATCCTCTTCCTCCTGTCCTGGGACGAGGCGAGCCGTCAGGGGCTGGTGAAGATGCGCGTCTGGGGCCAGCGGTGCCGGCTGTGCCCCCGGGGCTCTCGCAGCGACTGCCAGGTCAGCCCCCCGAGCGTGCGCCCCTTCCTGAACAAGCTGGCCCTGCACGTGCTGCGCAAGGTCTACGGCGAGAGCCCCGGCCCCGAGCAGCGCCCCGCGCTGTACGTCAAGGCGCCGGGCCACGCTGCCCGGCCCTGCGAGGCCTGCGCCCTGGGCGTCTGCTTCCTCCAGAAGGTGCCGGGCATGGTGCTCAGCCCCCGAGCCATCCGGGGCAGCTACACCATGTACAGCGGCGTGGGCCTCACCATCACCGCCTCCCGCGGCGCGGGCAGCGCCCTGCGCAACACGCAGCTACTGGCCCTGGGCGGCGGGCCCTCGATCAGGCGGCCGAGGGGCGGCGGGCCCTTCGCCTTGCACAAGGGCTGCTTCACCGTCCCGCTGTCGGTGTCGGACTTCATTAGGAATCCGCTCACAGACAGCAGCCACTTCTTCAGCAAGGGCGAGGGGGTCATCACCATCCCCTTCTCTCTCGCTGATGAGAAGAAGGACCCGGGTCCAGTCGCTGGCATCGGCCATGCCAGGAATAGCTCCCGCCCAGCCACCCACACCATTGGCAAGGGCTCCCTCTGCCTCTCTGCCAACTCCTTGGCCATCCCCGAGGGCCGGGGGCTCCCGGTGAATATCAAGGACCCTGTCTTCCATGGCGAGGGTCTCCTGATCAGCAATGTGGAGGCCAAGGGCTTCGAGCTCAAGGGCTTCATCTTTAAAGGCAAGGGGTCCATATCTGACCCTGTTGATGTGGCCAAGGTCCAGGGCCTGGCCACCCCTGCTGCGAGGAGTCCCCTGCCCGTGTCCTACATCATCGGCCTCATGGCCAATGGGGAGGGTTCCATCACCTTCCCCCTGTCCTTCACCAACATCATCAAGGACAAGGACTCCTTCGCCAGCGTCTCCGAAGGGAAAGGCAAGGAGGGGGGCAGTGACGGCCCTGCCACCGCTGGCCACCACACCCTTCTGGAGGCCAACGCCTACGGCCCCCCCACTGCCGATGAGGGTGCCCTCACCTTCCCTTTCATCTTCACCGAGGGCTTCAAGGACAAGGACGGGCGTCTCAGCCTGACCCAAGGTCCGGCTGCTGCTGCTGATGGCTGCCTTCTAGAGAGCAGCGCCGGGGGCCCCCTTGCCCCCTCTGCCAGTGATGCCAAGGGCAAGGGCTCTTCTGCTGCCACTGCCCAAGATGAAGGTGAGGAAGGTGGCAGTCCCAGGGGCCCTGTCCCCAATGTCCCCAAGGACAACTCCCAGGACAAGGAGCTTCCCATGGACACCATTGAAGACGAGGGGCCGCAGGAGGGAGGCAGCAGCCCCCCAGCCCCGGACCACGACCCTCTCCTGAAGGCCAGCACCGGCACCTTCCTCACTTTCAGCGAGGGCTCCATCACCATCCCCTTCTCAGTGTTTAGCATCATCAAGCGCAAGGGCCCCCGGGCCAGTGCCAGTGCCCCCCAGGGCCACCACGGCCTCCTGCCCCCCGGCTTGTCTAAGAAGAAGAAGCGGCTGAGGTCTCGCTTCAGCAAGTCCAGCTGCGGGCCGCCCAGAGACGAGGATTTCTGCCCTGCCATCCCGTGCCGCGGCCTGTACGTCGAGCCCTATGAGGACGTGTGGATATGGGTGTCCATGACCGTGTGTGTGCTTTGGCTCATGTGCATGTACAAGCTGAGCCCCGGCATCTTCCAGCAGCAGGCATGAGCCTGTCCCCTTGGTGGCCCCCTCCTTCCCGTGGCTTGGCCCACACAAAAGCAAAAGCCAGCTTGTGGTGGTCTTTTCCCTCTGCGCACCCGCCCCCAGGGCCCCCAGCCCCCTCTGAGTGCCAAGCCAATCCACCCCAGGGCCCCAGCCCTCTCAGATTGCAAAGCCACCCTGGCCCCCAGGGTCCCCAGCTCCCTCCAAGTGCCAAGCCAACCTGGGCCCCTGGGCCCCAGCCCCCTCCGAGTGCCAAGCCAACCTGGGCCCCAGGGCCCCCAGCCCCCTCCGAGTGCCAAGCTGCCCCGGCCCCCAGGGCCACAGCCCCCTCTGAGTGCTAAGCCAACCCAGCCCCCAGGCCCCCAGCCCCCTCTGAGTGCTAAGCCGACCCAGCCCCCAGGCCCCCAGCCCCCTCTGAGTGCCAAGCTGACCCGGCCCCGTCCACGCGCCTGTGACTCTGTGCCTTCTCTCCTGACCTGAGCAGTGGTTTAGTTAGTGCGTGTTCGCTGTCTGTGTGTCCACCAGGCTGTCCACGTGTGCTGCAGGCGCTTACCTGTGTGTGTTGTTACGTGTTACACTCCAATAAAATACAAGCTAGACACAAGCCCAGTGTGACCTTCTCTCTCGGGAACTGAAGGGACCTCCCAGGAGGGCTGCGAGTGCGGGGCCTATCTTCCTTCCCTGGGCTATGCTGGGACAGCCCTCCACACCTCTTCCTCGCCCTTGATGACATTTCTGGAACAAGACATTTGCTGGGTCCCCCCTGGGGGGACACTTGGCGGGACACTGGCCACCTGCACTGCCCACCACTGCTGAGCCAAGTGCTCTGGGCAACTCCAACAGGGGCCCAGCCCACCCAGAGGGAGAGGGAGCCGGGGGCAGGGTGGAGACACTCCCCCCCATACAACTTCTCAGATGGCACACACCCAGCCCCTTGCTTTACCACAGTGGTAGGGAAGCCCCCCGTAGCTGCACTTGATTTTCATTCTGAAGTGGGGACCCCCAGTGGTAAGGGGGGGTGGGCTGGGGAATGTTAGCAGAGAGTAGCCAGTGAGGGGGTCTGACCTTGGCCAAAGCAGAGTGAGGCTCCCTGCTATCCCGTCTCCCAGGCCTCGAGTGGTGGGTGGTGGGCCCGTGGAGATGGGTCACCAGTCAGAGAACTCCGGTGGCCTAGTGGGAAAGGAAGGAGCAAGCATTTGGACAGCCCGACCCAGCCATCCTGTCTCTCCAGGGTTCCTGAGTCTAGAACTGACTGGGCCCCTCCGGTCTCTTCGGGGTTCAGCTGACTGGGCCCTCCCTGTGTGTGGGGTGCTGTCCTCCTGGAGGCAGGCACAGGGCAGCTCATGGGGCTCCGGGTGCTTCTGGAGCACCCTTGGGGCTGTGATGTGCTAGGCAGCACAGGCTGAAACGGGCCTGAGTGGGGCCGGGAACATGGCCAAGGACTGAATTGTGTCCTCCCCAAATGTGTCTGGTTTGCGGGGTACATGATTCCCGATGGTTTGGTGGGTACACGGTGGTGGACTCTCTCCCATAGCATGATCTGATAGGATCAGCCCATCAGCTTCAGGGGGATGAGGTGGGATGCAGCACCCTGTCCTTGCTCAGGTCACAGCCTGCTCCAGTGACAGGAGTTTTCCTGCAGGGTGGCCTGAGCCACCTTTTACCTTACTAGAGTTAAGTGGGAAGAGAAGGGGGCACTGGAGGAGGACCCACTGCCACCAAGAAAGAGGAGCTGGCAGCAGAGCATGTCCTTTGGCCAGCGTCTCCAAGCCAGGGACTTCATAGACGCAGGGAAGACAGATGCCAGGACTTGTGGCCAGCTCCTAGGATGACTCCCAGGCACAAGAGAAAGAGAGAGCCCTGGGCGATGCCCTCGACCCAGCCTCTAGCTTCTCCCTAAGCTGTGAGAGGGTCTGTGCTTGTGGCGGCTGCCCCAGCCTGGGGAAATGTGAGCGCGGTGTGGGCCGGGTGGCCTTTCCTTCTGTTGTTCCCACTGGACCTACAACCAGCATGGAGAGAGCCCTGACAGCCACCACGGGCCAGGCTCGGGGCTCCAGAGAGGAGCCTGCCTTCCCTCCCTGGGGTCCCATTGGCCCTGAGGGAGCACACCTCTCCCAGGAGGGGTGGCCTAGCCCACCCAAGCCCCTGTTTCCTCCCAGGCCTCCCTCCCATCAGGGAGCACCACTGGCCGGGGGGGGGGCCTGCTGTCCCCTTCCCAGGGTACTCGCCGTCCAGCCGCAAAGCTCAGCAAGCCTTTCTCCTCCCGGGCTCGTTCTCTGGGGTCTAGTCCTCTCCTACATTCACACTTACCCGCCATGGCACTCACTCCCACCCACATGTAATCCCCTGTACACTCACTCACCTGTCACTCATCCCCACAGACACACAGACACACAGACACACACACACACACACTTTCTCCACTATACACACGCACACACACCAGTATTCACTCCACACACACTGTCACACACTGGTACCCACTCAAACTACACCCACACAATGCCATCCTCACCCTGTGGTACACACACACACACAACACACACACACACACACACTCTTCGCATCAACACTTCCACACTCACTGTCACTTCACCAGCCATCTACACTTATGTACCCACGCACCACTCACAACCCCACTTCACACAGCCCCATCTTCATCATTGTGCTCATGCAGAAACTGTGCATGGACCAAGAGGCAGTTGTGGGAACAGAACAAGGGAAGACTGCATGGTTTAAAATCAGGAGAGGTGTGCATCAAGGTTGTATCCTCTTACCATGCTTATTAAAGCAAATAATCAGGGAGGTGGATTATATAAAGAAGATTTGGCATTAGGATTGAAGGAAGGCTTATTATCAACCTGCGAGATGCAGATGGCACCACCTTGCTCGCTGAATGTGAGGAGGACTTGAAGCACTTGCCGATGAAGACCAAGGACCAGAGCCTTCAGTGTGGATGACAGCTCAATGTCAAGAAGACCCAAATCCTCATCACTGGACCAGTAGGTGACGTCATGATCAATGGAGAAAAGCTTGAAGTTGTCAAGGATCTGCCTGGCTTGGATCCACAATCACCGCTCAGGGAAGCAGCAGTCAAGAGATCAGATGATGTCTTGCATTAGGTCAATCTGCTGCACAAGACCTCTTAGAGTGCTGAAAAGCAAGGAAGCCGAGGACTCAGGTGCACCTGACCCAAGTCATGGTATTTTCAGTTGCCTCCTATGCAGTGAAAGTTGGACACTGAATAAGGAAGACCAAAGGAAAATCAATGATCTTGAATGATGGTGCTGGTGACCAGTATTGAAGGCCCATGGCTGCCAAAAGGACAAGCAAGTCTGTCTTGGAAGAGGGAAGTCCAGAGTGCTCCTCAGCGGCAAAGACGGCGGGACTTTGTCTTATGTAGTTGGGACATGCTGTCAGGAGAGACCAGTCCCTGGAGGAGGACATCGTGCTTGGTCAAGTGGAGAGGCAGTGGACAAGAGGAAGACCGTCGACAGGATGGACAGGCAGCGGCTGCAGCCATGGGCTCAGGCATCGCAGGACAGGGTGGGGTTTCTCGCTGTTGTGCACAGGGTCTCTATGGGCTGCAACCACCTGGATGGCACCCACAGCACCCACAGCAGTCCTAATGCACACACTCATCCAACACGAAGCTACGCACCCATGCACACATTCATCCAACACACAGCTACGCACCCATGCATGTGCCCACAAACACTTCACCCCCACATCGCACACTCACCCAGCACAGCACACACCTCACACGTTCATCCCACACCCTGACACATCTACGAATCCCACACTCACTCCTACACCACACGTGCACACTCACAACACTCCTCACTCATTCCACACCCCCAGACTCCAGCACTCTTACTTATGCCCTCATTCCACACCCCGACCGTCCAGTGTCCCCCTCTCTCTGACAGTCTCATTGCACACACCCTCTCCTGAACCTCTGGCAGCTCCCTGTCTGTGCAGTTATTGGTGGATGATCTTCAGCAAAACGTCACTTGCACCTGACGTCAGTGACATTGTTCTCTGGTTTGAGCACTCTTCTGGGTCACATTTCTTTGGGATGGGGATACATTTGGATCTCTTCCAGTCAGTTGGCCAAGTAACTGCCTGTGAAAGATTATATAATCTGCTGTCAATTTGAGAGGATTATGAATGCAGGGGTGGAGTCTAGCCTATCAATCATTGTATAGCCAATGAGGCCTCTGTGTGGGCATGGCTCTCCCCTGAGGATTCTGGAAACGCCTGCATTTGGAGGTGGGAGACACACACTCTCTCTGCTCACACCCTTGGACACTCTCTACTGACAAGACACATGGCACTATGTTGACAGACCCCGTGCCCTGGGAACTGGAGGAGCCACATGGAGATCCCTGCCAGCGCTGAGATGCTTATAAAGCACTGGCCACTGGCCTTTGATCTTCCTGCATTCAACATCATTGCATGTGTTTTGTGAGTCTGAAGAGGACTTTACAGATTGGTATGGGACATATGGGCTAATATCAGATTTATGGACTTGATCTGGACTGGGCTGGGATGTTTTCTCAATATTGCAATTGCTCTCGTATATAAACCTTTTTCTTATACACATGTGAGTCTGTGGATTTATTTCTCTAGTCTACCTGGACTAACACGCTGTCTTCCAAAATCCCTGGCAGAGATGAGTGAGTGTTTCCAGTGCTTCATCAGCTTGTTGGAACATTCAGTTGTGATCCCACCCATCCCCGGAGCCTTGTTTGTGGTGGATGCTCTCAGTGCACCTTGAACCCCTTCCTGCAACACCGTTGGCTCTTGCTCAGGTGCAACCTCCTGGCACGATGAGATGTGGCTTGACTGGTTCTTTTTGGTGCAGTGACTCTGTATTCTTTCCATCTGCTCTTGATGCTTCCTGCATCAATCAATATTTTTTCCACAGACTCTTTCAATGTTGCAACTCGAGGCCTGATTTTATTTCTTGTGTTCTTTCGGTGTAAGACATGCGGAACATATTCTTCCTCTTCAGTTTCTAACTGTAGGTCTTTGCACATTTCATGATAATATTCTACTTTGTCTTCTTGAGCTACCCTTTGAAATGTTCTGTTCAGCTCTTTGATTTCATCACTTCTTCCACTTGCCTTAGCTGCACTACCTTGAAGAGCAAGTTTCAGTCTCTTCTGACACCCTCTTTACTTCCTGTCTTTTTAATGACCTTTTGCTTTCTTCGTGAAGGATGTTCTCGATGCCCTCCCACAGCCCATCAGGTCTGCTGTCGTTAGTGTGCAACGCGTCAAATCCGATCTTGAGATGTTCTCAAGATCCAGGTCGGCCTGCTCGAGGTTAGCTTTCACTCTGTGGACTTGTTTCAGTTTTCTTCAGCTTCAACCTGAACTTCTTCACTCCTCAGCCGTTTAACCTTAGCCATATGCCATAAAGGAGCTGGTGTAGTGTGTGCACGCGTGTGTATGAAAGTTTGTGTGTATGTATGTGTGTGACTGTGTATATGTGTGTGAACATGTATATGTGTGTGCATGTGAGTGTGTATGTGTTTATGTGGTTAAACCAACAGAATGCCCCCTGGGATTTGGCACTCAGAAGGCTGTCAAAACCTTG